GGGGGTGGGGCTGGCTTGCAGCAGCTGGAGAAGATGGCTCTGATTGCAAGCCAGGCCTAGGGACCATACCCGCACACAAATGTCGTGCGCTGAGCCTCTAGTATAAAATAAAAACTATTGAAATTCTTTTAAAAACAGAGAAATAAAATATTCTCTTTATGATAGTACATTTTATTGGTACAAAATGTTTTATTAACATTAAAGACTATTATTTTATATTTTAGGACTGTACTGTCAAATAGTGTAGAACCTTGCCACATGTGACTATTTAAATTTTAAACTAAATTAAATTTGAAATCCATTTACTCAGTCATAGGAACTAGTTTTAAGTATTTAATGGCTAAGCTATTGTACAGTACAAAAATGGAAAATTTTCATTATAACAGAATGTTCTTTAGGAGGGTACTGTTAGAAGAATGTACCTTTTAGTTAATTAGATTGACTTCAGCTTGTTCAAAAATAGCTCACTTGGCATTCCAAGACAAACTAGGTTTATTAGGATGTGTATATATGTTTTACATGTGTTTTATTTTTATTATTTTTTAATCTTTATTGTTGAAAGTATTATAAATGTCCCCCATTTTCTCCCCCATTGTTCCCCCCACCCAGTTCCCACCCTTCACCACCCTATTGTCAGTGTCCATAGGTAATGCATATATGCATATAAATCTTTGGTTAATTTCTTCCCACCCTTTCCTACCACCTTTCCTTTGAGATTCCTCAGTCTGTTCCATGTCTGTATGTCTCTGGTTCTATTTTATTCATCAGTTTATTTTGTTCATTAGATTCCTTGTTCGTTTATTTTGATTTTTAGATTCAATTGTTGATAGATATGTATTTATTGCCATTGTATTGTTCATTTTTTTAATATATTTTTTTCTTCTTACTTGAACATGTCATAAGATTCTTTTGCTTGTTAACATATAGGTACAGGAAAGATAACAACATCTGAGAGACAAGAAAAGCATCAACCATTCGACAAAAAGTATAAAGATCAGGAATTTGGAACTAGTATCAGTGGTTTATTTGCTTCTATTTGGGTAAAGTAAAATATTTAACTTGTTTTCCCTTCTGTTCACAACTTCACCCTTTAGTTTGCCTGCAAGAATAATAGTTTTCACATGTAGATTTTATCAAGTCATTTCCCAGATTACTTGGTTGGTGAATTTCATACTCTTTTAGTGAGACTTTAAATACCCTTCACAATAGCATCAACTGAATTTTCCTTCCTTATTTCAGAATTTTACCCCTTTCTCCCCCACATTCCATCCACTTACTGTTTCATGGATGCGTTAGGTACTTTTGTAGTTCTGTACCTTTTTAGATGTAAATCTCTCAACTTCAAATGTTCTTCTTTCTCTTCTTCATTGGAAAAAAAACCTCTTTGTCAATTTTACCTTAATGAGTTTCTCGTTTAATGCTTTCATAGGTATTTATTCAAAATATAATATAACATAACATGTTATATGGTATAAACATATACATAGTACTTTTTTTATTAAATTAGTCTAATTCTTCTTAAAATAAATAGCTATGTTGTATAAAATCATAAGTTTTGTTTACTTGTTTTCATTTAAGCACAAAAGTGTTTATATTTTTATCAAATCATGAAACCTTTCTAGTAATGGTCTATATTTTATTCAGACTTTTATGTAATTTTTACTTTTACAAAAATATTTCATGTATTTCGTATATTTCATGTATTTTAACAATATAGAAATAAATTAGGGAGTCCCAGCAATCAGATCCTGAGAAACACTGCAGTACAGAAGACTGGGATCTTAAGCCAGCCAAAGGAACACTTCACTTTTTCATTTTTATTTTATTTTATTTTTTATTACCTTTGTTATCTCTTTTTTTCTTTGTTTTCCTGTTTTTGTTTGTTGCTTTATTTTCTATTTCTTTTCACATTATTTTT